CCCAAACAGCAAATTATGTAATCAAAGAAAGCACTCGTAATCTCAAAAAGATATTTTGTCGCAAATTTTTTTTTGATGATTGTACCCTTTCATTTAAAGGATTTGCTTTTCCGTAAACTGTACATCAATTATTCTTCACGTCACTCTCGAAATTCAGGTTTTATTAATTTTTAGTTTTCTTGAATGCTCTCTCAATTGGTAAACCAATAATCAGCAAACGTAACAGCAACCAAAGAAAGTAAAATGTACTAAATAGCATACTTTAGAGGTGCTTTTAAAGTAAATACAATGGCTTAGTTTGGTATTACTATGAATTTTAGAAAAATTACTTTTAGTTGTGCTGAAAAAAGAAACAGTTGTTACAAAAAGCAGCGGAGTGTTTAGTAAACTGTAATTATAGTAGCTGTGCTGGTTCTAAAATCAGTGTAATAGCGTTTGGTAAATTTTGATGTTGAATTACTGTGGGTATGTAACATGACCAAAATAGACATAGTATAGAACTCAAATATATTAATTGTTTTTGGCATTTAAAAATATTTATTTAACTTAAAAAAATATAATGCTATAATTTTGAGTTTTTTAACAATAAATTTATGATAATTAATTCTTTTTTTTTTTCATTTATTCATTCACAATATAGTTACAACTAAAAAGAGCATTAGTGTTGTTGAACAAAAAAGTACATTTCATGTTCAAAAAACTGACAGAGTCATTAAAAGAATTAAGTCGTGTTCATTAAACTTGTCACAATTTGATCTCATACTTCAACCATTTCTTGTGATAGTGAAGCTTCATCTTTTTCTACATTGTCCTCCAGTTGATGCTCTTAGGGTAAAAAAATGTCATTATTCCTAATCCCACCACCTTTTTTATCCTTTGAATATGACAGACTTCCAGCATATTCAAGGGTCTCAATGGTGAAGAGTCGCACTATTCTACTACTACAAGCACAAACAATTAGGTTGTCGGATACAGATACTGCAAAGCCTTTATCAACCTGAAAATTTAGTTTTGAATGGTAAAGAAGTGGGGGGAAAAAGGAATAGCATTAAAGGAATACCTCAAAAAGAAAGAAAAAAGAAAAGAAAATGGACAACACAAACTTTTGAGGGGTTTATAGTAAGCAACTTTGTCAAAATCCAGCCAAGCAGATATGACCAGTTTTTACAAACTTTTATAAACAACATTCATATAACAACTTTTGTTTCCTTTTTTGCACAACTTCTTGCTTGCTTTCTTCTATGGATATAATACATTAAGGTTTGAAACATTATAATACTAAAGACCATGAGTATGTTTAAGGACCCAAACATGGCATTGGATTGTACTGCAAAGTCAAAGAAAAACCACGAATGCTACAAAACATATAATTGGAATTGGAGTAAGGAAACTATAAGGCAATTATTACATAAATTGGACCAGTACTCGACTAGACTCACTGTCCGGGCAGCTATACAGGCCTCCAAAAATATTCCAGTTTCCTTAAATACTAATTGGATCTTTTGAAATCCACCAAGAACCATATGGGGAACATAAAAC